GAACCCTACTTTTTCCCCCTCCAGCCACTGCAATGCACATCACAGGCTATCCCACCCGTTACCATGGTTTCAAGGAATGCAGAGAGAAGAAAAATGAAGATTAAAGACAGGGGGTTTGGTTTTGTTTGAAGGGTCTTTGCAGACAATCCCATACATGTGCGTAAGGAATTACACTTAAAAAATCAACACAATGATTCCTGAAAAACTGAGTAACAACGTTCCAAATATTAACAATAAAGTGATATAAATAAACAATACATATAGCTATATAATATATATGGGTGTCAGACAGATGTGAGGGCCAGAAAAAGTTATCATTCAGCCTTTTAGTATAACCTAGTGATGGTATTTAAGTGTAGAGTCAAATTAGAAGAGGGATTCTGAGAAACAAATATTCACCCTAGGATACAACAGGCAGCAAGCTCCCAGAAACACTTCCCAATATGAAGGTGGAACTAATCCTGAAGTCGAAAGACTCTTGGCCACAGTAGCAGAGCTGTAAGGAAGCCAGCAGCAACACGAGCATCTTGCTATCAGTAACTGACAACCAGCTGCCATAAATTCAACTAGATGAGCCTGCTCCCCGTCGAGAGTGTTTAACAAGTGCAGTATCAAAGCCACTCCAAGGCAGGAAGCTCTGCAGGAACAGATCAGGGTGCTCTCTCACCCTTTACATCAGGACAGAATAGCACATTCTTCTCCCCTCTCACTGAATGAGAGCAGGCAGTGATATCAGTGAGCTAAATGGTGAAACACCCCAGAGTGAGAGTCTGAAGTGGCCAGTCCTTGTGTGCCTGCAGGAGCTCCAGCACTGCTCTGAGTGGGACCCTGCTGCAGGCAGACAGCTCCTGAGCAGAACAGGGGACCAGTCTCACCAGCCACGTGAAGAGAGAAAGAGAAGGCAGGTGGTTGAAGGGAAAGGATGAAAGGGGGGTTCTGTTTCAGGAGGGAAAAAAACATTGGAGGATAAAGCAAAAAAAAAAAAGGGCAATGTATTAAGCTTTCTGGAAGATGCACCTCTACTTAGTTTTCAAGTGGCCAACTGTCTGAAAGTGCCTTTAGCAAGTGCAAAGAGCCATCTTTCCAGCAGAGTTTCTGAACAGATACAGAAACCAGAATAGTTCATGCAGAGAGTTATGGGGTGGAGGGGAGAGAGGGAAAAAAAAAAAAGTTGTGCAGCAAATGATTCAATTTTGAGTCAAAGCTTTTTTCCATGTGCATGTTCTGTAATAGCTTTACTACTTCCCACACCCTTCTATTTAAGTTATTATATCAAGGCCATGATAATGGCATCAGAAAAAGCCACACAAAACCCCCCACCACACACAGAGAGGTATTTCTGTAGGGATTGGTTTGCTGTCCAGAGACACAGCACAGCGAACGGCACCCACCGCAGTCAGTGGGCAATGAATGAAATGTTCTTGTCCAGCTCCATCAGCTTGGACAAACACACACAGTAATTATAACCAGAAATAAACCCCAAAAATGTTTAAAGTGATCCAGTGACAGAAGTAGCACAAGCACTTCAGAGGTGGAAGTAAATGTCTCTCACTCACACCATGCTCATTCAAGTATTTTTATCCCTAGAGAACAGCAAAGAGCAAAACCTCTAGGTTAGAAAACTGCCCTTCAAAACAGCTCAGATTTCAGCAACCAAAACCATGAATATTGTATTTAAGAAGCCTGTATACACATGGAAAAAACTGGAAAAACACCAAAGTAGAAAAGGTTTCTTTAAGGGTCATTTGGTGCAGTGGAAATATTATTGAAAACTTAAAGCCAAGTATACTTCATGCCTTAATACAGGACTCCTTGCAGCAGAAACTTTTAAAAGGCCAAGAGAGCTGAGGAGGAATGGATTGCCTTCTCTTCAGAAGCCTTTTACTCCAATTGCAATCACTTTATTTCCACTTCCAGCATCCAGGCTGCCTGGTTCTCCTCCTTTGGTCCATTCAAACAGAATGTACTTGTTCCTCCACACATTTTCCTGCCAGCTTCCCTCGACTCCATTGATGGTTGTTGGCAAACAACCACAGATAGTACTGAGGCAGAGCTGCACACACATCACACACGAGCTCATACAATGGCTAAAAATTGCACATTTCTAACCCATCTGAAAGCACCTCATTAAACATCTTCGTAATTCAGGTACTTCAACATTCATGATCAATACTTCTATCTTGAGGGAAATCTTAGGGAAAAACATGAAATTTACACTAGTCAATATTAAAATGCAAAAAGAGAGACAAAAGTTAAAAAGCAAGAGGAATGAGTTTAAGCAAAGCCTCTTCCAAACTTCCTTCTGAGATTTTCTGCTGGCTTCCACCTTTGGCCTATATGTGTTGTAAAAAAAATCCTTATATATATATATATATATAAAGTCAAAGGGATGAAGAGATCATACTTAACTAGGTGAACATCTTCAGGATTTTAAAATCAGACTGGAAGTGCTCCATGGCTTTGCCCTTAGAGAGCTGACACTCACCCACCACAAGGCAAGTGTGGTGGGCGAAGCTGAATCGCCACCGTTGCCAGCCTGGGGGCTCAAAGCTGAGGTGCTGCCCTGAGCACCCCAGAAAATAACGAGCTCCTCGCTCATGCTCTGGCACCAGTTTCTACTTTATTACAGAGTTTGATGCTTTGAGTATGAAAATTTCTAAATCTGCTGCCAATGTGACCGAGCAGCACTGGTGCAAATGTATTTTACCATAGCTGCCTATCCACAGAGCAGCTGGGGAGGAAAAAGCCAGTTCCACCCTGGCAGCACCCTCACAGGGTCTCCATTGATTTCTTCTTATGAACAAGAAGTTTCTTTTAATGGAATCAACTTTCTTGGTGTGAGGAAATAACTTTTTTCCTCACTGTCATCTCACTCTTCTAAAGGCCCCTGCCACAGTGTCCTACCCCAGAGGAGAGCTCAGACCCCTGCTGCTGCCTCCCCTCCTGGCTGAGCTGAGAACACCACCCACACTGTGCTCCCTCAGGAGTCTGGGGCAGTCTCCAAATAAATAGGGTCACCTTGTTGTGAATCAGGCCAATGTCCCTAATGCTGGCACAGACAGCAACAGCTGGTGACTTAACCCACTGAAAACCTCATATTCCAAGCACTAATTCCTACCCAGGTGCCAATACTTCGTGTTGTTTTTTAGCAAAGTTGTTTGGTCATGATGTTCCTTTCTAGAGCACGGAGCTACCTTACATTTTACTTTGTGATGCCCATGCTCAGCACATACAGTTATGTACAAAGTTTCCTCTAGTTGTCTGAAATGATGGTTTAAGAACAACAGGATTCAGATTTCACTGCAGAAATACAGGGGAGGGAAGGAAAGAAGCTGAGCCCCACAGCTCCAGCCCACCCCATCTACCCACTGCAGGCTCTGCCAGCTTAGGCCCACGACTCAGCTATCCACACAACACAGAAGGTTTTGCTCTCATCATACCACCCTTTATCTGTATCTTCCTTGACTTTTGGCACAGAGGTAACAATACAAGTGGTTCAAATTTAGACATCATTGCAGTAACAGTATAGTAGCAGGAGTTGTTTATAGTTGCCTATAGTTGCCTTTTGACCTCATTGCATTAAATTTTTTGTTTACAGAAACGTGCTACCAGCACGTAAAGGCTGTTTTATGGTGGCCCTGAGGTCCTCTCCCCCTGCCTCAACCTGCCTGCTGGAGCAGCCCTGGAGAATCAACGTGTTTCCTCTGCTACAGGAATTTTCTTACCCTCTTCTCAGATTAGTGAAACAATTTCCTGGAGGTTTTCCAAGAGACAGCATGTAGGATACTATTGACTCAAACTGATTTCATTTGGATTTTCATCCTAAGGTATCTTCAGCAGCTTTACAACCAACCAGGCAATCTATACAATCAATACAATCTATTGTGGAGGCTCACAGGCACAGCCCAGTGATGGTCTCACTCAGGTTAGCTGCAGCATCAGGACAGGGTACGTGTCAAAACACAAAGAAATTGAGTTTGTCTTTATGTGCAGGATTGTGCCCAGCACGAGGCATACAAGGCACCAAGACATCAACACCTCAATGTCTGTGGTGGGTCACAAGCAAGTCTGGAACCATAGGGAAAAGGATGTTAAAAGAACCAGCTCCCTCAGCTGAACTAGACAGGGGCAGAAAGCATATTATGAGAGGCACTGAAAGGTAACAGTTCATTGATGTGTAGTTTGCACTTGTGAGGTGGCAGAGGTGGAGCACTAACTTCCCAACACTGGCAGCTGCACTGTAAACCAGCCTGTGCCACTGGACTTTGCAAACAATTTAACCTGACACTGCCTCAGCAATGTCAAATGACTGCACAAATTCACACCTTCCCCTGGAGAGTTCACATTCCACAGGAAGTGGCAAAGCTCTTGAATGACAAGTGTCATCATGCTGCATTCAAGGGCAGAGGCCACAAATACCTGCACGTGGACTGCAAGCCATGCTGCCATCCCCTGTACCAAAGGGCAAGAAGGGAGCAGCTCACAGGGTCACAGGATCAATGCCCTGAAGCCAATAGCTGTCGATCAGCACTAGCTTCATGAAGGGAGAAATGATCAGTGGGAGAAGAAAAGCAGGAAGAGAACAAGAGTCATGTTGGTTGATCCTACAACTCCTCAAAAATCACATTCCAAAGCATCTACCCAAATTATTCCTGGCACACATGAAACAGCAGTATGGAAATGATTTGGTGGGGTGGGAACAGGACGGGACAAACTCCCTCCCCAGGATTCCAAAATCCTGGCCCATATCCCCACCCCAAACTTCACAAACATGAGCAATACTTCCCCCCTGGAAACGCTGCTTCACTCCCCCCACTGGACTCCCCACGAGAGCAGCACTCCCAGAGCACCCCAACAGCCCCACGGCTGCACCAGCTCAGACCACAGGTCCCCAGTACAGCATCCTGCCTCTCCCAGGCACCAGTGATCCCCAGTACAGCATCCTGCCTCTCCCAGGCACCAGTGCTCCCACAGATCTATCACCACACCCAGATCTCACACGCAGGCAGCAGCCCAGCATTTACATGTAAGGCACAAACTATTTTTTCCACCCATGTGCATCACTTCACATTAATTTGCATTGAATTTATCACCAAGTCCCTTATTCCACAAGATTCTTCTACGGCCCTTCAACACTCTGAAGAGTTTGGACTTGCCAAGGAGCTGCCACTTACTAACTACTCTATTTTCCCAATCATTTCTTGGTGTTGAACAACAACATATCCTCAAGCACAGATCTCCATCTTGCTCCACAACGAAAATTAGCAACATATGCCTACCCTCCATCCCCAGCTCTTGAGCCATATGAGAACCATTCCTTCTGCTCACAACTGTGCCATTTCTTTGGCATGCTTTGGTAAGGGACACTGTCAAAACACAGGTTTTTAAATTCAAGCACCCTACTAATTGGATGTCTTTATCTGATATAGCTGGCAACTCCTACAGAGAACTCCAATAGGTTTGTGAGGCACACCTTACCTTTACAAAAGTCATGCTGACTCTTTCCAAACATATTATATTATTCCTGTGTTCCACCAAGTCTGTCAGAGTTTCTACTATTTGTCCAGTAGAGACATCATCTCTACTGGTTTGGGTTCCAGAAGAAATCCAGGGAACTACATGAATCACAGCTGCCACCTTCCAGTTCTCAGGTACAAAGACAGTTTTAAAATGAGAGGGTATGTATCAGTCAGGGGAGGGAATTAATTATCAAGTTCCTTTAGAGCTGTAAGAAATCTCTATTCATTTGACCATCTGATTTATCTACTTAGTCCCAATCTCTTCTGGTGACATTTCCACGTGAAGCAGTGCCATTAATATGTGCACAAATGAGAGTTCTCCCATGCTGCCACCTTCCAGTTCTCAGGTACAAAGACAGTTTTAAAATGAGAGGGTATGTATCAGTCAGGGGAGGGAATTAATTATCAAGTTCCTTTAGAGCTGTAAGAAATCTCTATTCATTTGACCATCTGATTTATCTACTTAGTCCCAGTCTCTTCTGGTGACATTTCCACGTGAAGCAGTGCACAAATGAGAGCTCTCCCATGGATTCCACTCAGACTGACCTGTGCTTACTGAGTGCCAGTTCAAACTGTGACTGCACAACAGACCCCCACCATCTCCACACACCTGGACACTACCCTGCATCCCAAAACCTCAGTGCAGCAGAGCCTGCATCAGCCCAATTACAGTAAAATTGATACTCTGAAGTATTTAAAATCCAGCATGGAGAACAGAGAGACAGCTCTAGAGAAACAAGCCACTCCCATACAACACTCCAATACATGCAGTGATACATTAGTTGCTGCTGACTGCTGTCACTTGCTAATTAGTCCCTTTTGATTACAATACTCTGTTGCAACTTGGTAACTTCACAGTTGCTTTGCTGGACTCGACCTGTTGCCAGCTGTTCTGTAACACAAACACAATGAAACCCTCCCCATGGACCTTGCATTAATGCTCTCCTACAGTGCCTCTGCAGCAGCCTCACTGCCTGGAAGAGATCTGTTAGAAGAAGGTCTCCCAGCTGGAACACAGTGGAACTTAGAAGCCCTTCTTCTGAGGTGGGGCAGCAGGCTTTCATTGTTTGACACCTCAATGGGCAAGGGAGAATTTTAGATGTCATTTAAATGACATCTGAAATGTTGGTAAATGAAGACTCTGTAACACCCAGCAATAAAATTGTGCTTATTTATGCATATTATGCAAAATCATCCTCTTACCCAAGGTAAAGCACTAAGAGCCTTGTGGGGAAGCCCCTACACCTTGCCAGCACTGGCAGTGAGGAGATGTGACCTTGTTCTCTGTACTCTTCCTCACTTTGAAGCCTTTTGAGCCCTCCAGAGCCCTTAGCTAGAACTGTGCTTATTAAAAGCACCTACAGATGGAATCATATCAGGGAAAACACTGCTAGCTCTGGTTTAGGGTCACATCTGCCAACACCCATCAGTTGATATTGCAGGTGATGCTCCCAAAGGGTCCAAAGCAGCCACTGCAGAGCAGCATCTGCCCTCTGGGCACTGAAAACATTACTCAGTGGAACCCATTTTTTTTTTCCACAAGAAAAGAGGCTTTCAATTTACAGTCCTGATACACACATAATTCCCTGAGCCAAGAGAGTACAACCACAGGACACCACCTGAACCTAGCAGCCTCTTAATGCTAAAACAGGCTTCTGAGAAGGGACTTGGCTGCTGCATTTCTTCTGTGAAGACTCCACTAAATGCAAAGACTCGTGCTTGTAATGAGACAAAAAAGATGGAGGAAAAAAAAAAAAACACTCAGACACTTTAACCCTTTATACATGATGATCTGTAGTATTTCTCCTTTTCTGTGATGGAAAACATAAGTTCAGCTACATATGAGAGAAGAATTAAAAAAACCCCGAAACTTTCTGGCAGAATAAAACCACTTCAAGAGAAGGCATTTCTAACATGGCACAGAACAAATGGGCAGGAGTCTGTAAGAGAAGAAAAAAGCCTCTCTTCCCTCCCAAATCTCTGTCCAAACAGCTTTTCAAACATTAAAAGCCTGCCCACATAGCAGAACAAAATGATCAGAAAAGTTTTAGAAGTGCTGCAGTACATTGCTGACTTATTTTTAAGATGACTCACCTATTAGAAGAGAGTCCCCTGAATGGGATTCCATAATTGGTTTTGACAGGGGAGGTTTTGATCTGTGGGAAGAAGGAAGAAGCATCTCTGAGCAGTTAAGCTCGTTTAACAGTGTGCTTACTTTTTTTAAAACATACATCTCTATGTGTGTGTGCATGCACACGACAGAGACAAGAGAATACCTCTGCCCCCTGCAGGAAATCCAAACCTCTGCAAGATGGACTCAGTAATTAAGTTGCAGTTGAGATTTACACCAATTGACTCAAGTTTTGAGGTGATCTTTCAGGAGAAATTCAGACCAAGTATTCTCCGTGAGCCTCAAGGCATCAATTCAAAGAGAATATTCATGTATCACACCAGCCAGCCTGCTTCTTACACTGGGAATTTATCACTGTCTCCAAAAGTAAGAGAAGATTCAATCACCTCTAAGCACCGGCTTCCTCTGCTCATTATATTTGATATAATTAAGGATAAAGTCTTTTTGCCTCCCTACAGCTTCCACATAAACTTCCCCAGCTTGGACCAGTGGCTGCAGTCACACCTATGACTTCCCTGCATAATGAAACCTTTATTCTCCACCCTAGAGCAGGAAGAGTGTCTCAGAAGAGGGATGAAATGATCATAGCTTGCAACTCGTGACATTTTGCTGAATTCCACTCAGTTTCACAGAGCTAAACATAAACATTGCACTTACTTGATATTATGTATTTTTCTGGCAACGATCATTGGAAAATCCACTTCAAAATATTTTCTAGGGAGAAGATTTTCATCCTGAGAATTGGAGTAACAGTCTAGAATTAAGGATGTTCAAGTTTCACATGTACATGACAAGAAGATAGAATCTTAAGTCCTGAACAGTTTTAATTTACACTGACATCTGGAACAGTTGCATAACTCAACATCCCACAGCTTAAAAAAGAAAAACACAAACACCCCAAAACAACAAAAACACTTGAGAGACACCAGAATGTCCTCCAAGTGTTCAGGAAATGATTTAACTTTTTATGCAGTGCAGAAATCCTGGGCACTAGATCACTGAAACACACACTCCAACAGTGTATCACCAGGATCCAGGAGAAACAGCAACAGGAAACTACTACAACACCTACAACACCTCTGCAGTGTATTTTTCTGAGAAAGAAACCAGGAACATCTTGCACAGGTGTACACAGAAAGTGACCACACTCCACAATTTGTCCTCAAGCCAAGAGCAGCCTGCAGGTGCCCCAGGATTCCTCTACTGCAGAAATGGGGGAAACCTCTTCATTTCAGTGTCACCATCTGCCACCCTGAGCAAGGAGCTGTACCAAGTCTCTCCTTAGGCAGCACTCCCTTTGTGATGGAGACGTGCTGCCAGCTCTGGCCTGTGCTGCCAGCTCTGGCATGTCCACCTCAGGAATTTCTGCAGGTGAAATCAGGAACTGGACTGTGGGAGTGTGCAGTTAACTGGGTCCCATCCACTCTCTCCTAATCACACCACATCTGCTCTTTACAAGGAGACAACTTGGAATTACAGGCCCCACTTCAGCTTTTAAAAATCACTGTTTCAGGAAATAACACTGTGCATTGGCATCATTTTCACAGGAATGCTGGTAAGAAAAATGCTGCACGTGTCAGAGAAAATTCCTTATTTTTCCCCTTCCACTGACTGAATTGTGACCAAGCAAAATGCAGCTGGCCTGCCTGGGCTTCCTGCCAGAAACTAAATTTACAAATGAAAATGTTAATGAGAAGACAAGACGACTGAAGAGGTGTGGTCAGCCAGAATGCTGCCATCAGAATCTCCAAATAATCTGAATTTTTGTGTATTACATACATGTGTAGACATATATATTTACATATTTAAATTCACATTTATATAAATAATTCAGAAACGTGTAACTAGGGCTTGCACTGTGGTACTTTCATCCTGTTTTAACATAGGATAAAGTGAAAACTTATAGAGGAGAGCAAGCATTCAAGCTCTGCTCCTGGCAGTCCTCTAGAGGTCAGCGTGGTGTCACACACTTTTTGGGGAAAACCAGGGTTTTAAAGGTACCAGGATGAATTCTGAGCAAGCCAGACCTGTGGCAGAACAGTGCTCCAGATGTCCCCACAAACCTGCCCTCAGCCAGGCTGGTCACTCTCAGCCATCCCTACCTTCAGTCTCCAGAACAGAGTGTCCATGCCAGCACCAAGATTGACAATCTGACAGTTGCACTCTGTCTTCTTCAGAAAAGCTTTAATCAGGTAACTGACTCCATGAACACGAGCGTAGTAGCCTGTTAACAGCAACAAAAGTTTGGGTTTAGTTGTTATTTTAATATAAAACTTAATTTTGAACACAAAGATTTTTTTTGTAACTTTGGAAAGTTTGTCTATTTAATAGATGGCATTCCTTAGGATGAATTATTCACTCTTTTTAAGGCACCTAAGGTTTTCTTGTGTTTTGTTTTTTTCTCATTACTAACAAAATCTGGCACACTGATAAAACAAGATTCCATGTATAAATAAAAGTTTGAGCCAAGTTTCACCACAAGCTGAGCAAAATAATTCTATTTGGTGTGTGTGCACTTTTGCAGAGAGCAGAGCTGACAGACCCAGCTGCCCTGGGTCAAATCAACACTTCAGATTGTTCTGCAGAGGTTCCTGCCTGCTGAGACACACAGAGACATTCCACTCAGAAAAAATGGACAAGAGTTTTGATTTAAAGAAGAATATTTAAAAGATCAGATACCATGTGGAATTATTCCTGCAAAGAAAACTTGTGTTATTCTTTTACACATTTCCTGCACTCCATAATACCCCACATAGGGAGGTTCTATCAGGTGCTCTTCAAGAGCAGTCAGGAACTGGTTTGCTCTGTCTTCATTCTCATGCCAACTTGCCTCTATTGATTTCAGGTGCTTTTCTTTCTTTGGCTTGTCTCACAAAATACTGGATGTAAGGGTCCTTCCAGTAGCCAACACTTACAGCAAACCTGTCCAGCAGAGGGGAAAAAAAATAAAATATGGGAATTATGAAATACAGCCACCAAGATTTACTCTAAAAGATAACACAGCTAAGAAGGTCACTCTCTGACCTGGGTGTGTACATGCAGGCTTGCTGAACGTGTGAAACTATTTCAATTAAGAAGTTATAGAAAGTCTGGTAAAAGAGGTTGGCTCTTTCCATATTGAGCAAGCATCTTTTAACTGTCCCTGCACTACCTGATGAACTCCTGCAAGCAAAGACCCTAATTTCAAGTATTTCCTCCATGAGGACTCAGCAAAGAGGACTGGTGTGTCTGAAGCTCCTCAGAGAGCACACAAAGCAAGCTTTACTCCACGTTATGTTACCAGCTGTCTGCACCTATTCCAGAGCTTCTACCTCTCCCTTGACCACAGACAACAGCACTAGTCTAGTCTCACAGAGCTTAATAGTTTTACAACAGATTTAAAAAGGTAAATTCTCTAAAACAAACTCATCTACCCAACAGTTTGCTGCTATAGCACCAGCAAAAGGAGAGCACAAAAAAAGCCAGCGATAACACAAGCTGAAGTCACATCCGTGCACATCAGGACTCAGCACCCCCCCAGCACCCGTCCTCTGGAAGAGAAGGAGAAGTCTGAAAAACATCAAGATTCTTCCTCCTGAGCTGCTGCACACCACTGAAGTTTCTGAGCGCTGCTGCCAGGGAGCACAGTGCCACAGTGCCGGCTGCCGCTGGATGCCTCGTACCGACAAACTCTGAGCTGAAAATTG